TATAAGTATTATAATTTAAAATTATAATACTTATAAGTATGTAACTTCATCAGATAGAAAATTTGTTAGCTTAGGAAAATCCTATATTCAAACCATTCATAACTAAAAAGTAAGCTGTTGAAATAAAAAAATTTAAGAGATAAACAATACATTCATGCCTTTCGATAGGAATTTCAAGATATGTTAATCGTTTTTAAAAAAGAATGTCAAATATTGTGGAAAAAGTCATATCTTGGATTTTAAATCTCAAATATCTTAAAAACCTGATGTGTTGGAATTTTTTGGCATGCGCGGCATTGTTTTCAGCATTCAAAAATCTACGAAAAACATCCAGTTCGGTTCAAAATCATTTTTTGTTGTGAACTAGTAGAATCTTTTACTTCATAACAAATATTTCCTATTCTATATACGTTTTTATGTATACAGATTTGAAGTTAAAATGTATCAGAGGTCACTTCCGCGTGATGCACACCGGGAATATTCAGAAAATATATAAGTTTGTATGTTTGTGTAATCAATAAGAAATCATATAATATCTAACAGTCCATAAAATAAATGATAATTTTTCATTAAGTTGAATGCGAGAAATTGGAAATTGAAAATTGAAGACATTAAAGTTATATAATGTATGTAAAAATAATTTAAAATATATGACTGCGTTTTTCGACGTATGACTTTTTTATTTCATATCTACCACTTTTTTGTGCGGACATTTGTTATAATTTGCTATTATTTTCAAAACTCATCTAACTGATAGAAATAATAAGTAATGTCCTCAACAATATTGTTGATAAATAAATTCTATTCTTTGACTTTTTAATCTAGAGTACACTCGCTAAACTTAAAATAAAATTGATATTTATTTAAAATTTGACAAAAGTAAGAAAAAAGTTTTGTTGCTATCCAAGTTTTAGTATAGCGATTGAAAACAGATTTATGAAAATTTAAATCCCAAATAAACATTCAATGCCAATAATATCAAAAGAAATTTTATTAATGTAATACTTGCTAAACAAATTAATGCAACACAAATGTTTAGTTTATATTAAACATTAATAACAGCAAATTTTTTTATTAATTATTATTCAGATACACAAATGTAATTCTAGTACTATTTAATTTGCTTTTCCATTCAAATAACTAATGATAAAGTTTACTGATTAGTTTTAATGGTTAAAAATAAATTTATTATTCTTGAAATTAGAAACTCAGATCTAGTAAAGTTCTAAATTTAAGTACACAGTATGATATAAAATTACTGTAAATGAATAATTATAACTGCAATGACTGTGCAATTTTTTATATATAAGGTGTCTTAAATCTCTATCGCATCACCTGCTAATAATAAATTCTTAAAATTATCTGAAGATGAGAATTCTAATATTACAAAATTTTAATATTAAATTTTATATAATATTCTATATTATATATTATATATTCTATATTATATTATAATGTTGAGTCTACAATAGTTTTATCACGCAGAGCATGTTAATTAAATAAATAAGAAAACATAAAGACAAATTTAAAAGTTTATGCAAAATTGTATCAATATTTATATTTAATATCTAATGGCTTCTTGACTATTATTGTATAATTGCTCTAAAAACGCGAATTTTAAACAATTTGATCTCCCAATTACTATTATTAATTGCTTTAGAAATTATTATAGTCTCAACATTTTATTAGAATTCATTTAACATTTTGTTAGAATTTTCATCTTTAGGTGATTTGCTATTAATGCGGTCAGGAATATCTATTAGCGGTATATCTGCATTCAATCTTACAATACATAACAATTTTTTGCGAAGAAATATGATTCTATTCTTCTTTGAAGATGAGCATAGGTGAGCATAAATATTGATTAATAATGATAAAAGATTTCAAAATAGATATAAAAAACAATTGCGTTGACGTAAATTAACTTAATAGTTTTAGCATGTGATAATATCATGTTTCACTTATATCTGTCAAAGTCTATATTATTTTGCTTAGAACAATATGTACAAAAAAAAAACAATGCGCTTATAATATATGAATAGTATTTTTAACCAGGATAATATTTTTTTGCATATTCTCGAGAAAATCAAATAGATATTTAAGTAATGCCTATCGATCGAACCGACACGCGTGTTGGTGTGTATTAATTTTTACAATATTTAGCCACACGAACTGCGCGTCGCATATTCGTTGGTCTTGAAATATAATTCTTTACATGAGGCCGGAATCCACTTGTAAAAAGTTATTGTGAAAAATACCATGATATGCCATGATCGAATGGTTAGGACGCCTCTCCAGCAAGCAGAGAGATCCGGGTTCAATTCCCGGCTGATGTGATATTTTTCGCAATAAATTTATTTACAGATTTGGGGGCAGAGTACTCTTATAAATGCACGTTAAATTAATTTAGTCGAATTAATTATTGTTACAAGTGGATTCCGGCCTCATATGAAGAACTGTAGGTATTTCAAGACCAATGAATATGCGGCGCGCGATTTGCGTGTGGCTGAATATTGTAAAAATTAATACACATCAACAGCCGTATCGGTTTGATAGGAATTACTCCAATACATATTTAATTTATTCTTACGATCATAATTCCTTTAATTTATTCTCGAGATAAGACCCAGATAGTCCAATCTGCAGAGGCAGAGCTGGAGCAGAATTTGGTATAAATTATATTGATGATAGAAAGACAAATTTCATAATCTATGCTCAGCAAAGATACTAAACATAGGACAAGATGGTACAATTTCAACCATGAAATAATTCTGTACAAAATAAGATTTGAATATAATTTCAATATTCAGATGAATGATCTCTTTATGTAGAATTTAATATCCTCCACACAATGAGATTATTTACCAAATTTGAATCGCAATTAAAGATTTAGATTTCAGAGCTATCTAAGAAATGTTACAAACATTTTGCAACTTCTATAAAATGTTTTACTTTTCAGTTGGAATGTTTCCAATATGCATTTGAAAGATTTCTATACTGTATGGGATCGCACACGTTGCCAAAGAAAAATTTAAAAAATCAAAAATAATTAAGGCAGTGAAATAGCAATCTGATTTTAAATTGTACTGTACTCAAATCTATTTTTTACATTTATGCTTTCTGATAGAGTTTGTTTTGTATAATTTTATGCTAGAAGCATTAGATTGACATTTTATTGCAGAGATACGTTCAGATATTATGCCCAAATAATTATAGTGCCCAGAACCCAAAGAAACTGCAAATAAAAATTTTGGAGCTACGAAACAACGTACTATTGAATGGAAACAAAGAACTTCTCAGCAACAAATTGAATTTAAAGTGTTTTTGTTATCTTGTGAAAATTACTTCCAAAGTCATAGTTTCCAAATTTAAATATTAATTAGCATTAACTTATTTGCGTTGAAATATTGCTATAGATTTGACCCAACTTTTATTCGAGAAAAATCTTTTTCGATATTTGTTCTTCAAATACGAATTTAAAGAACAAATCGTGCAAATATTAATATAATAGACAAACACATGAAATATTTGATTCTTCTTACAATTAGTTCCTTGACTGAATTGAGCCTAACATTGAAAGAATCTTGTAAATAACACATTCTCAGAAAAGTTACATTAAATACAAAATATATGTATTAAAAACAACATGTAACAACTTAAAATGTAAATAAACGTTTTCGAAGTAATACATTACATACTTTTGTTTATAAATTCTTTTTATAAATTTTATAAATATATTTTTTATCAATTTCATAAATTTTTTTTATAAATTTTATAAATATATTTTTTATCAATTTCATAAATTTTTTTTATAAATTTTTTATAAAAGTACAGCGGTATGCCACGGATTTACCGCTGAGGGCCAAAAAGGTTAATTTACCTTTGATTTATGATTTGACATAAAAAGTTTTTATACTATTACAGATATGTAAAGTTATATAAATGAATATATTAGAGCAACATTTATAAAACGTTTAAAATAATATTAAAGATACATTTTTTAAATATTCGAAAATATCATATTATTCGGTAACATTTAATCAAATGGTACACTTCTTTTGAGCACCCACTAATGGAACATTAGTGCGAATTTGGATTTGACATCTTAAATTGTACATTTTTCCTGAGGATAAAAATAGAAATATTTTGAAAAACCCACTTTTTGGGATAAAATTTTCTTACAAATCCAGCGATATTATTCAAATTAATGGAAAAACTATTTAACAATTGAAAATTAATTATAAATGAGTTACCGTTTTGAAAAACGTCTCTTTCTCGAAGAAAAGCTGCCATTTTTTTGTTATTTTATGAAATAAAGTGAAACTTAAGTGATTCTTTAGTTAAAATACTGTACTTTAATAAAAAATTATTAAGTGCGAATATGCACTACAATGAACTTGCGAAGTTAATATTTCATTAATCTGTACGAAACTGAAGCTGTGCATGTTCGTATCTGTCATCTGAGGTACTGGGCATATTTAACGTAGTGGGGATAAGCCGCGACAAATGTCTCTGTGCAAATGCCAGCAATTCAAAAATTTTCGCGGTGCGAAGTCGCACTTTTGTACCATTTGAAGGTTAAAAGCACTTATCTATATAATATTACATAGGAACATTGATGAAATTTGTATAAAATCATTATTTCAAAATGTTAACCCAAAATGTTCCTTGCTTACTGGGGCTTTATATCGTCATATTAAATCTACTTTTAGTTCAGTTTAATACATGTATTTGTCCGAAAAATTGTTTAATAAGTAACAAAAACTGTTAGCAATGAAATTTATTAAAAATATGGTAAATTAATTGCTTAGTCCACCCTATTTCTAAAAATGTAATCCCTTTTAATTTATAAAAAAAATTTTTATTTCTGTTTTTCTTATGTACATAGATTTGAAGCTAAAATATATTAAAAATCATCTCCGTGATGCATTTCGGAAATTTTCACAGTACGTATGTATTTAAATTCGTATATTTGAGTAATTAAATTAATCTGATAGTCTGCATAAATGTAAATTTTTTACTAAACTGATTGTGGAAAATTTTAGAAATTAAAAATTCAATTTACTAAAGTTACGTAATGCATGTTGTAAAAATAATATAGAAATGCATAACATATATTTTTCTGCATACACGTATGATTCTTCTATAATATTTCATATCTTACGCTAAACGTTTTTACTTTACGTAACATCTTTTTCTTTGACAAATGACTATTAAATAAATAGGGAGGAAATAAATAATAATAAAAAAAAATGTAACGACGAGACCGAGGGTCGTGCACGACATGCGTAACACAAAAATACATGCGACACATACATACGAGCGACACACGTTCGAACGCGCAAACACGGACAGCTCGGCCACCCTTGCACACGTGTATGCGGCTTCGCTTGAGATT